TTATTCCCATAATATGTAATATTAAACTGGAAAAAAACATAAATATGGTGAATTTTTTAACTGGCTGAGACGTAATAATGAGGGCAGCTTCCAAGATTTCTACTTCTCAAGACCATTTCTTTGGAAAATGAACCTAAGCATTTGTTGCCTCTGTGGGGCTGTACATAAAAATATTTTGGTGCCCCCTAGAGGTTATCAGGAACAGACAGTTGTCAAATGCCAGGCAAGGAGAAGCTGAATTCGGCTCAGCAGGCACCATCCATCACTCAGTGCTGCTTAATTCTCTATACTTAAGTGGTTCAGAGGTAACCACAAAGTAGCTCTAGAAAGCAGTGGTTCTCAAATTTCAGTGAGCATCAAAACCACTTGGAGGGCTTGTTAGAACCCAGATTGCTGGCCTCCACCCCCAGATTTTCTGATTCTGTGGGTCTGAGGTGGGGTCTGCACATTTACATCTCTAGTCTCTGGTGTTTCTGAGGCTTCTGGCCCAGGAACCACACTGTGAGAAAAACTGCCCTAGAGAATCATCTCAAAGTTTAAGCCAACTCCAGAAGCTACTCGGGAATTAATATCCTTGGGGTGACTCTGCTGTGGACCTAGTTCTCCCCTACTCTCTTTATATAACCATAAATAGAGTATGTGGAGAGACATGAACATCTCCTATATGATGGTGACAGTTCCTGACGAATTATAGATTCCTTGATCCCTGGGAGTTTCAGAGGGTCTCTAGATAGAGTTGTGTGTAGGAGAACGAATTAAGATTTGAGGTCAGAGAACTCAGGTTTTGATTTCAGCTCTGCCGTTTAATCAGACCTGACTAAAGACCAGTGTCCTCAGCTGAATATGAGTAAAATATGTGGTTTTAACTCTAGCTCGGCACTTGGGGTACATGAAAAAATTTAGCTAAATCTTAATCTCCATGAATTTGGTGTTCCATATCTGGATTTCAAATGGCAAGATGTTGTGAGAAAAATTAGTTCACTAACCTGAACACACTTTGCAACAATGGAAAATAGTAGCATGAAGGGTTAAAGCCATGGAATATATTCTGTCAGTTGCATGAATTTGATCAATGCTATTACTGTTACTACCTTTGTTTTCACTCATATTTACCTGTTTTTCATCAATTCTTTTTCTTATCCTCTTTCTCTAATTTCATAAACTTTTTTTCTCCAAAGAAAATGCAGATTGAGAGAATACTTGCTTTTTTTATTTTTTTAACTGTATGAGTATTTAATTGTCTAAATTGTTTTCTAAATTATTTTAGCAATTGGATTTTTTTTTTTTTGTTTTCCTCTCTGTCTCAACATAATAGGAAACTTGAATGTTGACGACTCTAGTGGTTTCCACTTCTGTTTAATTCAGGTCAGGATTTATGGAGACCTCATGTGGTGACAAAAAGCACCACAGAAGGCTTTCCTCAGGATGGGTATAGCACAGTCAAAGAGAAATTCAAATCTCATTTGGGAGCAACATAATCCAGGAAAATGGAGACCTAGAAGTTAATGGCATTGAAGCATGCAAGGCCTCCAAGAAACATCCTACAGCAATACTGAAGGAATACTATAATAAGAGCCTTAAAAATGAGAAACCTGGTCACTCATGTCTACATTTCCCTCTATTAGCTGAAACACAGATAACGCAAATAAATTAATGTGCCATGTTGCTAAGGAATGCTTTGCAGTCTTCCTTTTCCTCTTCATGAAATCCACCAGACAGATCTTCTTTTCTTAAAATTTTTTTTTAACATTTATTTATTTTTGAAACACAGAGAATGAGCAGGGGAGGGGCAGAAAGAGAGGGAGACACAGGCTCCAAAACAGGCTTCAGGCTCTGAGCTGTCAGCACAGAGCCCTATGCAGGGCTACAACTCACAAACCATGAGATCACCACCTGAGCCGAAGTTGGATGCTTAACCGACTGAGCCAGCCAGGCGCCCCTGGACATATCTTCTTATTTAAATTTTCATCAAATTTTAAAACCTGTTCCAATAGGCATGTTGCTACAAATGTTATTTTCAGTTCTTTTCTCGGTTTTACACAGAATGGAAAGGGAGCCAGACAAAGAATCAAACTTGAACTCATGTTTATGACTTTCGTTGGTGCAACGTTATAAACAGCATTATTTGCAAATATTGCAGTGCAAGATATGTTTTTGCAATTAAAATACAGAACTATGATTCTACGTGGTGGATAAAGTTGAACATAAGTACTCTCCTCTTATTGCTGACAAGGTATCAGAGTTAGGATACTGAATGAATTAGTGTGGTAGTAAACATATTTCAACATATAATTTGCTAGTACAGACTAAAGAAAATTCACTGGGTTTGGGGTACTATGGTGGAAGAATCCTTGGTCATTCATAGGCACTTATTATTTAACTCATTATAAGAGTTAATTTATAATATAAATTTATAATATAAATATATAATTTAACTCATTATAATTTTCTTACAAGAAAATGTGACTATGCCTTCCAGTCTCAACTTCTTAAAGAAGTTACATAACAGACCTTGAGGCTACAATCTAGAAGGACAAATGAGTTAATAAATGTTCAATGTTTTCAAGTCTTTAAAAGAACAGAGCAACATAAATCTATGGCATTAAAATGAGTTCCAATTTGGTTATCTAATGGGTCCCCTGTCTTTGAAAACGTCCTCAGAATAGCTTTAAGATTTCCAGAGCAGACAAAATGAAAAGGTAGACATAGCCTTATTAAAGACATTTGGGAAAACTTAAGTAGGGAAAAAGTTAATAGGGATATTGGTGAAATTTCAGATTGAGTACGTTCTTATGTTTAAAAAAAAATGGGTCAATTTTCAGAGCACCCACTATGTGTTTGGCATATTGTTAGATGCTGGAAATACAAAAATGAATTAGATTACCTTGCTTTCAAGGGGATGACAGATAATGACACAAATAATTATCACTCTATGAGACCGGCATTAGGCTGAGGGCTTGCACTACTTCCTGTGAATGCCTTGTAAGGTGATATGGGAAGTGAGGTGCGTTACATTCAAGCAAAGGAGTTGACTCTTAGTTACTATTTCAACCCAATAATGACATTGGTTTTTGCTGGGAGAGGAGTGGGGAGCAGGAGGGTGGTAGCAGTTGCCAGACACACATCACACTAAAGAGACAAGAAGAAAGAAGGAAATTCTCTTTCACAGTGGGGGGAAAAAATCCAGCTTTTCCCCTAAATAAAGGAAACCTTCTGGTTACAATGTGCGTTGCTAGGGATTTATTTTACCCTCCTAAGAGAGTAAAATCACACGGATACATTCAAGCCCTTAGGGTTTTGTGAGCATACTGTAAATCTAAGACGTCAACCGAGACTGGTGTGAAGTGTGTGACTATAAAGAAAGGGTTAAACGGAAGGGGGTGGCTCAGAGATGGGAAGGCTGGCGAGAAGGCTGGAAAACTTGCAAAAACTCTGAACTTTTAAGCTCCCAAAAATACACGTGTGTGTCTGTGAGCGCGGGCAGATCTATTTCGGTAGAATTTTTTTTTTTTTTTAATTTTAAATCACAATCTCTCTGTCTCTGTCTTGCTGCGCTGCAAACACACTGAACAGCCCCTTAGGATCGCGTGGCAAAAGCTGCAGCAAAGGCATTGGCAGCGCTATTTATTTATGAGTCGCGTTCAAAGCCGCCCTCTCCCCATTCCTCCGCTGCGAAAGACCAGCTCAGAGCCTGGGGCACCTCTGGGGCCTGCGGCTGGGGGCAAGGGCCTGGAAACCTCCTTCCTCCGGCAAACTTTGTCGGGGCGTGGGAGCGAAGGCGCGAGCCAGGGCGCGCGGGAACGCGCCGCCCGTCGCCGCCTCCGCCTGGCGCTGGCAGCCGGGGCCTCACCTCTCCCCGGCGAGGTGCGGGCGCCCCGCGCGCAGCCAGTGGGCGGTGCCGGGCGGCGCGGGGCGGGGCCGAGGGGTGGGGGCTCCGCTGGGTATATAAGGCCGGCGCCGGCTTAACTTCTGACTTGGGGTTATTTATTTGGGGAGCGCGCGGACGGCGGAGGCTGGCTGCGGCGGCGGTGGCGGCGGTAGCTGCCGCAGACGGTGGTTAAAGAAGGCGGCGGCGGCGGCAGCGGCAGCGGCGAGTGATGGGAGCGCCGTGGCTCCCGGGCGCAGGCGGGAGCTGCCGAGCTTTCCGGGCACCGCGGGAGTGCTGAAGAGAAAGGGGAGCGTCCGGGGGCCCGAAGCCGGCTCCAGAGGCGCCGGGCGGGTTTTTGTTCGGCTGCGCTCAGCGCCAGGCAGCCCGAGCGAACAACTCCAGTTACAACAACAACCCACCTTCCCGCAGCCGAGCGAGACTAGGGCTGCTGCGTCCGTCCTATTGTTTAGACACTTGCCAGGAGCTCGGGAGCCAGCAGAGCCCCCGAGCCCCCGCTGCCTGTCGCCGCTTTCCCTCTCCGCCACTTCCCTCTCTGGAGAAGGAGGCGCGGACAGCAGCCAGGAGAGGGGAAGGGGCTGGAAGGAGACTGGCTGCTCGGGACTGCGGCCGCCGAGTCAGGTGCAGCACCGGGAGCCGGGCGGCGGCGCGACGTCGGCGGGAAGACTCCCACCGTGGCCGTGGGGGACGGGATTCAAAGCCTGGGAAAAGTTCCTGCACTTTGACGAGGAGGAGGGCCCACTTGCGGGCGGCTGTCGGGAGGCGGCCAAGGGGCTGCGCCTGCCCGGGAGTCTGCTCTTGTTTCGTCCACCTTTGCCATCAGGTGTCTGCTGCGGAGCTGCGGCGTATCCGGGAGACGCCAGGGGCCGACACAAGCGCGCGCACGGGACTGCCATTCAGCTGCCTTCTGGGCTCTCCTCGGGGTAGCCGATCCCACCGGCCAACTGCCACCTCGTCATCCCCCAGTTCTCTCCGGCAGGACCCAAGACGCGGACACCTCCACCTTGGCCTTTGCACACCTCCCGGCCTGCCTGCCAGCCAGCCCCGACCCAATCCTCGGAGGAGCCTTGGTCCTCAACTTGGCCTCTTGGATTTCCTCTGTCGGGGTGGTGACTAGTGGATATTTCTGCCGGCTGCGGCGGCCCCATTGCCCTTTTGTCTTTTTCTGCGTGACCTCGGGGAAGGCCCCGGTGCGGAGCGTCGCCAAGGACGCCAGGAGGGAGGCGGGATTGCCGAGATCTCCTTCGGCGAAGTGCTTGTGTGTTTGCAAACCGCCCTCGGCTGTCGGGAAACGGCTAGGACGTGTCCCGGCTGCGGAAGAGCCGCAGGCTGTGCGGAGGCCGCTCGAGTGAACCGCGCGGGAGGCACGCAGCGCCGCCCCGCGACCCCCAGGCTGCGCCCCCGCCCCGTGCGCCCCCGCGCGCCATGCCCAGTCGTCCGGCGCGCTCCGCTCCCGGCCCGCGGGGCTCTTGCGCCTTCTAGCTTCGGAGAACCCACTTTGATCGAGGCCACCATTTCTATTGAGCACCCCTCTTCTGTCTCATAGCCTCCCCACTGGAATCGGATTTGAAGACTCCTCCGTGGAATCGGAGCACTCCCTTTTCCGCGCATCCGGCCCCTGCATCTTTACGGCCTTTAGGAGCCCCAGCTCTTTTACCGCCAAGTTGATCGTTGAGAGACAGACGACGTGTGACCTCCTCCCCGCAGCTTCGGGGTCTCTTTATAGCCTTGGCCTGGCCGATTGATCCTCAGGACCTAAAGTTGCGCCTTCAGGACCCGAGGAGCGCCTGCCCTGCTGGAGGAGGGTGGAGGGGAAGTGGGAGGCGCGTACCTGTGCCATCTCTACTGCCTTGAATATTATTACTGTTACTTCCAAATTATTTTGTGTACATTTACCCGGACACTCTGGGTTCCTAGCCCTGCGCCAGAGACTGGGCCTCAGACACAGCGCGATTCGCGCGGAACAAGGAGCTAAGGAGGAACCCCCGGCGCCGGCGAGCGAGGAGGCGGCGGGGGAAGATGCGCGGCGTCGGCTGGCAAACGCTATCCCTGTCGCTGGGGTTAGTGCTGGCGATTCTGAACGAGGTGGCGCCGCAGGCGTGCCCGGCGCAGTGCTCCTGCTCGGGCAGCACGGTGGACTGTCACGGGCTGGCGCTGCGTAGCGTGCCCAGGAATATCCCCCGAAACACCGAGAGACTGTGAGTACGGGATCTTCACCCCCCGCCCCCGCCACACACACACACTGGGTCGCGCATCCCCTTCATCGAGACTGGAGGGATCAAGCCGCACAGGGACCTGTGCCTGGGTAGCTCTCCTGCACGCGCATCCTGGGCTTGAACTCCCTGGGAGGGCGAAGGACAGGAGGGCGCTACTCAGGGAGGGGCCGCTGCCCTAGGAGGGGCGGGCCGGCTGGCAGATGCGCTTGGTCCTTTCCTCCCGCTTTCGTCCAGCCAGTTCCATCCCTGAGCAGACGACTTCTCTCGGGCTTGGGGAGCCGCTAACGTGGGGACAAGTAGTGGAGGATGCCCGGGGCGAAGGAGACGCGACTTTGTTCCTCAGACTCTGTAAACGGAGTCACCTTGCGGTGGCCAACACTGGCAGGGTGGTTTCAGGACCGAATCCCAGCGTTTGTCGCCGCGGGGTGGCGCGGGGGGGGGGGGCGGGGGGCGGTTGGCGGAAGGACTCGGAGGGGAGAAAACTCCGCTCCGCGGCTCAGTGTCTCCCTCCGGGGGCGGGGGGGGTGGGGAGAAGGGGTCGTGGGGCGGCTGGGTCCGCCCCGGGGGCGCTCTTCTGCAGGCCTCAGAGGGAAGGATGCCCCAGGACCGAGGCGGCTCTCTCGGCCGCCGCACGCCGCCCCCGCGACTCTTTCCCCCGCCCCCCACGTCCCCAGCGAGGAGGCGGCGGCGGCGGGCCCCAGGAGACCTGTCCCAGCGGGTGACTGAAGAGGAGGACCGTTTCCCAACGTCTAGGCGAAGTTAGGGCTGGCTCTCCAACCCGAACCGGCCGAGCAGGGTGCTGACTGCTACGGCGACCCCGCGGCCCTCCGTTGCCCCCTCCGGCCCTTCCCGCTGAGCCCCGGATCACCCCCGTGCACCTTTCTCGCAGTTTCTGCGCCCATTCACGTGGCCGCAGTTCTCCTTCCTTCCCTTCTTCGCGCTCTGCTGCCCGCAGACATCCCCGCCTCCCTGTCTCTGCGAATCTCTAATGAAGAAGTAATCGCAGACCCGGTGTTGACGGCCCACGCGCTCCTGGTGGGGCACTTCCCGAGTTCAGGGAAGCGGAGCATGGAGGCCATTCCCTTTGTGAACGCCGAGGCCGCCGCCCCGCGCTGCCCGAGCGCCCTGGGCGCGCTCCCCTCGCCGTTGCGCGTGGGCCCGGGTGCGCGGGGCGAGGTCGGCGGGGGCCAGCGCGCCGGACTCTGCTGCCGCGGCTTCTGCGCCCCCGGGGCTGTGAGGGTTGCGGGCCGCGCGGGGGACCCGCTGGGACCCGCGCCGCCCGCCGCGCGTCGAGTAGCTCTTCTTATCTAACTCCTTTGCCTCGCCCTCAGCTTAAAGGCCGGAATTGAGCCCTTTCTTCCTCTGCAAATGGCTCCCCCACCCCCAGCCTCACTGGCCTGCCCCCCACTTCTCCCTCCTTCCCAGGCCCGAAGCGCTGGGCTAGTTGGGGCCCGACCGAGGGTGTCTTGTCAAAATGTGATCTACTACATTTGTCTGGGATGGCGGTGGGGGGGTAAGGATTCATGTTCCGTCAAATAGCCCGTAAAAGACCCCAACAGTTGTAGGAACAACTTGGTGCTACTTTGCTCGGCTTGGAGAGTTGGGTTGGGGAGAGAGCACTGCAGAATTCTGTGTTAGCGCTTGTCACTGCATGCTATCCAGAACAGTTTAAAGTTGAGACATTCACATGTCTTACTCAACAAAAAGGGAGTGCACTTAGAACAAAATAGTAATTTGAGTTTCAGGTCCTTGGGGCCGGGTGGGGGGGAGGGAGGAGGGGGGGGGCGGAGAGGGGTCAGTAAAGTTTTCAGAAAACAGTTTGCTCAGTGCTGGCTTATAGGACTCTACCATTGACAAAATAAGCGCTTTAAATGCAAATTTCAAACACGATGTTTTCAAGTCAGAGGTAAGAGAAAACTTACTTCCGTGAAGGACAACATGCAAACCGCAGCAAAGCCTGGTTTTACTTGAAATGATTAGAACCAGGGCAAGTTTAGATCTTGACCTAAGATGCCAGAAAAGGGGGTGGTGACTGGAAGGAAACGTGGTGCTGAAATCCGAACAAAAATGTGAGGGCCTGAATCTATTTCCATTATTGCCCCGGCTAGTAGTTTTCACTTTACAGTCTCAGCGGGGTTCCCTGAGCTGCAAATGAAGAGTTTAGTTTTCATACAAACATAGAATTGTTGGAAGGTAAATGCCTATAAATGCAAGTCTTTGAAGTGCAGTTCTTTTGATGGCACTCTAACGTTTTTTTTTTCCTTTGCCTTAGGAAGTTTAGCCACCATGCCACCTAAGGACAGGGTTCTGAATTTTAAAAATTTCTTTCTGGGTAGTATTAGAAAATTGTTCCACTTAAGCGCCTGAAGGGAACTTTTTGGGGGCGTGCCTAACAATAATAGTCAAATAGCAGAATACCTGGGAAATTAATAGACACATCCTTATAAAAACAAAACTTGAAAGCACTTCCATTCACACACAAAAGAGGACTTTTCGTGATAACATAATCACTTCATGTTCTTGTCAGATGCCAGTAAGCATAGACTTTGTAAACTTGTTAAGAATCATTAGGGAAAAAAAAAAATCTTTCAAAGGTAACTACTCCCTTCTGTCTTTTACTTTGTAACTTACTTTAGTAATTGGAACTGATCTTTCACCTTAAAGTTTTATTTACTTTTTATTTTTTCTTTAACTAGATATTGATAGAAATAAAATGGAACTTTCATATTCTTGTTTTCTCTTAGGGATTTGAATGGAAATAACATCACACGGATTACCAAGACAGATTTTGCTGGTCTTAGACACTTAAGAGTTCTGTAAGTATGTTCTTCTGTATTTTGAAACATTTTCTTTTGTTCTTGAGGCTGCATATTTTGTATTGTTACTGGTCTCACTTTGAAAAACTGTCCCAATGACAGAAACATAAAAATTTAAAAGGTCTTGGTTTCCTTTCTTTTTCTGTTTATCAATGTATTATAGCTTTTAATGAAAATGTAGGCTTTTATTTTAAGGTTGGATGCTTGCCATTGAAACAATATTATAGAAATGACCTCAAATGTTTGCTATACCATACCCTAAGTGCCTCATGCATATAAAAGTGTAGAATAATTGCTTCCACAATATGAATAAGTAATGTGAGACATTTGATACACTTTTAGGATTTGAGATTAACTAGAAAGAATTTAAGTGGGTCTGCATTTTATTATTACTAATATAGAAGACTTTTTTTAGCAAACAGCACTGAGGTATGATTCCTAACATTAAAATCAAGCAATCCAAGTCTTCACAGTTTTTGGTGGGAAGTGTTTATAAAAACATTGCTGGTCATATTTTGAATTGTTGTATTTCACATCTTTTGTAGTTTTTATAATATTGTTGCGTTACGATTACTTCTTTAATTAGTGGGTTAAATATATTGTGAGGGAGCCATCATGTGAGATTCAGTGTAATGTAAAACTGTTTTTACCCACAGATTTGTAAATATATACATTGCAATGAACATATACTTTTGATCATTGTGTTGAGTGTTTATCTTTTAAAAGACACATTTTGGCTATTATGAAATCATCCAATTTCCAGTGTATATCCGTAAGTGAATTAAAGTATGGGTATGGTGACATACTGTATATGGATTCTTTCAGTGAAGAACTCACTCCAAAATCAGTTTACCAAAAACAGCCATCAAAACTGCCGTGTCATGGGTTGCTCTTCAGGATAAACTCCAGTTGGAGTTTCACAGTTTTGACTAGTAACTTTTACTAGTATTTTAGTATTTTCTGTGAAAGTTTTGTGCTGTGGATGCCCTCGGCCCTCTGTGATTTCTCTCAAATATACCATCCTTAAATTTCATATGAAGTCTCAAACCAGAGCATTGTTTAATTTTATAAAGGGAAGGAGGTTATGAGTGTCTCAGTGGCTGAACTGAAACTTGCTTATTAGATGGGGAGTGGTAACATTAAGACCCTGTTATACTTTGCATTTCAGTCAGCTTATGGAGAATAAGATTAGCACCATTGAAAGAGGAGCATTCCAGGATCTTAAAGAACTGGAGAGACTGTAAGTATTTTTAATTCCAAAGTTATGACGACATAACTGTATTTTTAAAAAAAAAAAAATCCTTGAATTTCAAGGGCCATGTCTTCAACTTTGTGTCTTAATCTTTGAAAGTTTTACAGAAATACAAGGTCGAATAAGTGGTTTTCAGGCTAATTTACAATTGCAAATTGTGGGATTTTCCATAAATAGTACTAACTTTTAATAAAGATAAAAAAAAAAACAAAACAGACTTCTTTCCTGAGACATTGATTTCCTTGAATAACTATTGCTTTGGTACTTAGAGAGGTACATGTTTTCCTTGTTGTCCATCTAGTTTGTTTTATTTGCTTTTGTAGGAAGAAAGGTGGTTATTTGACTTGCATTTATAATATGCTATGGAAAAGAAAAGTTTTGCTAGCTGTTATTTTAATTTTCATGCTGTTGCTTTGTGTGTCACCGGTGACACTTGAGAACATGTTTTAAATTCTCAGTGGTGAAAATTTGCTTTTTGATACTTATCACTTATGGTGAACATCGTTAGTAATAGCTATTCACAACTTCTTTTCATTATTTTATAGTAGCTTTCTAAATATTTCTCCTGGAAAAAGAATTTAAAGATTAGGAGAAATGGAGGCAAGAATTATAGTATCAAAGCATGGTTATTTTAAGATTTTTCCCCCCCCAAGAAGGCCGTGTGGACTTCAGAGTTTAAAATATATTTTATATTTTCAGACACAAAATCTTATGCATTGATATATACTACTTGAGGGCCGTTATTAGTTTATATCTACAGAGTATGAAATATCTGTCTGAAATAATTAAGATAAATTACACACTATATAATTTGAGGTATGAATTCCATGTCTCATATGTTTTGATAACTCAAGTTTAGTAAGTTTGCATTTTAAGGGCATGTAACAGCTCTATTAAACATAGCAACAATTTCCATGCCTGCTTTAATAGGCACTTTAGGTAAAAATAAAAATTTTATTTAAAATAATGAAATATAAAGTTAATTTTAGGCATAGCACTTATTCAGATTCACTGGGCCCAAGGGCAGAAGTTAATTCTGTGTAATTTTAAGTAGACAAAAATGGCTTGTCAATTTCTAAGATATTTGTAAATATATAGGCATAATTTTTATCACCGCGAGTAAAATTAAACCCTGGGATGTCTATCTTATTGTAATATTTTGTCTATGATATATATTCCAAAATAGGGAATATAACTAAAATAAATTTAAAATCACTACTTTGAGCTAGTTTTCAGAGAGAAATAAAAACGAGGTAAACATTTAGTTAAGTTCATTACGAAGTTCATAAGTTCATAACCTATCTCTTGGTATATAAAGATACTCTGAAAGTATTCTTTGATCTCCTTCGTGGGCTTTGTGAATAGTTAATTCCTAGTGAGTATCTTGTAAAGGTATTTTTAATTCGTCCATTTAAAAAGTATCAATGTAATTTAAATATTTGGTGAGATGAATAGAGAATTTTAAATTATAATTCAAGTGTTAACACTTTTTTCATGAATAATTTTTAACTATCATACGGAAACATATATTTTGATCCTTAACCAGCATCCAGTTGAAGGAATTTCGATGACTTTTCATGCAGTCTCAGTTAGGTTATATTGTCGTTCTAAATATCTTCAGAAATGCTAGAACAAACCAAACCTTTTCGTTGTTTTTCAAGCCACTTTGAATATCACTTGAACAAATTCACTTTTTTCTGGAAATTATTAACCAGATGCCTTATGATCTGAAATTTGTTTAGAGTTGTAAGTAGGTACTAGTTTTTCGCTTTTACTTCCCCTGAGAATGTCACTTCATCTCAGAACAATTTTCTATTCCACTAAGATGCAGTCAGATGTTTCAGAGTGGGAGGAAGATTTGTAATTTTGAATGAAACTAATATATATGCAGGACTTCTTTAAATCACCCCAGCTGTTGGCGGAGAGCAAATATTTCATATTTGTGAGGAAAAGCTGAGAAAATTCCTTTTGTTTACAACTGCCAAGTCCTTCTGATGGAAGCACATTGCTATCTGACAGCCAATTCATCTCCTTGGGACTCTGGAATTCAAAACCATTTCTTAGGAACATTGTGGATACACTTTTCAAATATTTATTTTTTTAAATACGTTAAATGGCAAGGAGATTTTGCCGAAGAATGCATTCAAGTTATCATGAAATAAACTATTATAGATTTTGTTCAGTATATTATTTAAAAAATACAAATAAAAAAAGCTAACCAGAGGGGTCCATAAACAAGTTACTATGGCCGATGGGATATATTCTTATTTTAGTAGGTGGTGACAACATCTCAAAAACTGCCTTTTTTCCCCTATGAAGTTTCAAGAAACATTGTAAGGAACTGGAAGTACATCAATGAATTAACTTTTAACTAATTATATGTTGTGTGAACTTATATTGTTTTTAGCAATTTAGATGTGAATTTTTCCATTCAAATTCTAAGTAGGAAAAAGTTATAAATGCAGGTTTATGTTATAAATGCCATTCATATAGTATTCACAGTAGCTTAATTTTCATTTTTTTGTGTGAAGAACAAAAAATAAAAATATTAATTTTATTTGTGTGCCATATATGGTTCTAAACTTTTTTCATTTTAAAATGATAAAATTAAAACAATTCCAAAAGGCTATCTTGTGAACATTTAAAAATTACAAGTTTTTCCTTTTTGTTTTATGTTGGTAGAGTTTTAACTTGATCTAGAGAAAGAAGACAAATCTGAAAACAGGAGATAAGATCTGTGCCCTTCTAGAAATACAACTCCTAATCTGTAAGAAACAGTCATGTTATTAGGGTGAATTTGATTTTAGCATAGAGAAAGTCATTATTTGTGAATCCAAGCATTATAGCTACAAAAAGAAAGGTTGTTTTGCACTTCAAAGAATCAATAAATACAAGGTTATATCAGTCAAAAGTCAAGAAATAAATGGATATTAAAAACTTTCCTCCTTCCACACGCCCTCCCTCCCTCCTTTCTGTTGTATGGAAAATAACATCAGATAATATGATCATCATCAGAATGTGGTTATGAATCACTATAAAAGGAGTATGTTTTAATCATGGTTACACACCATGACCACACGTTACTTCCTGTCTTGACAGTTTCCTCCCATACTTTCAGACCTCACATGTGTAGTGGCAGATTTCCATGTTCTGTGTTGCCAGTAGTACTTGTTATCTGGGAAGGGAAGGAAACCGTGAGAAATGTGCCTCATGTAGATTGTATTAGGAGGTCTCCTATTTGTTTAGCTGAGGTGTTCGACCAAAATCTAATGTAGTTAAGTGACTAGTTAATTCAATGGAAACTCATTAATGCAAAGCAAACTACAAATAAGCTACAAGAAAGAATCGGAACATGTATGACATATACATTTTTATGATTCCCAGAAGATACCTGTGTATATCTGCGATAGTCTCCATGCAAAATTGTTAATTCAAAGTGATTCTTCGCTGGTGCATCATGTCTTTGAGGGTCAAAAAAAATCATATTGGGGCCCCAAACTTTTGTGGGCTGATATAAAATTCTGTTGTTCACTTCTAGTTTATGGGATTATACTGCAGTCATTAAAGTTCTATTTTATGACCTTTTAAGGAGACCCAGGCCACTTCAGTTTCCACTAGTGAAAATTTATGTATTTATAGGTTCCTTCCTAATGGGAAAGCAAGAGTATGAGAAAGTTTTGATATTGTTTGGGTTGTCAAAAAAAATGTTAGGACATGAAGTCCTAAATGCAATGAAATGCTTATATGCAAAATAAAAGCCTGATATTCCTAGATTATGTTAATGAAACCAATAGAAAATCTTGGAGTATTAGGCTTTGCATTAACTTACAATCATCTTGTACCCTTGCAATAAGGAAATTGCAGGAATGATAAAGGCAAGGTTTTGGACTGTTTTTCTTTTCATACTAGTAACGTGAACGTGTTCATTTAAAACAAGTATTGCTTTAAACTGTCCAAGTTTTACTATCATTGGATTTGAAATTATATTTTTCCTACTAACTTTGTAATTTGATATGCTGTTTTTTTTGTTTTGTTTGTTTTTTGTTTTGTTTTGTTTTGTTTTGTTTTGTTTTTGCTTAAAAAATGAGTCCTGAAGTATTATAATGAAACCATGCAGGGAATACTGGAAAATAAACCTGTACCCGTAGACATTTTCAAGTTTCTATACAGCCAATATAAAGAAGATATTCATTTTAATTTAGACAAGTCTAAATCCCTTTACAATGGAACCTAAATTTGACCAAACACTGCACTCTCAGGAGAGAATACCTAAAGGACACATTGATATTTTATTAAAGGTGGTGCTGAATTAGTTCTCCCACGTGCACACCCCATTCCTAAGCACGTGACAGCCAGGGTGAGGCTGAGGAATTACGGTGCTCTAGGATTTCTGTTGTAGGTCTCTACACATGAGTTCAAGTAGAGAATATGTTGTGGAACAGGTCTGAAGGAAGCACCACTTATCCCCTGTTCATCAAGAATGTGGAGAATCCTCTTCTGACTAATCCTACAAATTTACAGGCAACACATAACATAGTGCTTTTCTTAAAGTAGGGCAAACCAGCAGTTCTAATCGCCTTGGAAAAGAATGCAAGCTCATCTCAAAAGAATTGTTCTCTGGCTTCTTTATACTACCAACTTTAAAATCACGGCAGTTATTTTCCTAGGAAATAAAGTGTGTCTTCAAAGAACGTGTCAAACTTGCTAACAGAGGTTGAGTATATGCCCTGCAAGAGATAAAAATGCTGTCGATGATCAAGTGTGTATCACTTTATCTGTGATATCTGTTCCATGTGAATTATTCTCACTTGTTTATAAGCGATATTGGACTATTTTCATTTATGTATACGACTGATCATGTGAGGCTTTAATGCATGTGCACTATTGAAAGTTTAGCGGAACATTGAATGCATCCAAAAGGGTTTCTCATGCAACATTTTTTATGGGCCTTGAAGTTGAAGGGTGGTGAGAAGGCCTGTTTGCTCTTT